ATATTATATATTATATATTATATAGTTATATAGATATTGTTATAACCAATTTTCACTGTATTTCTCTTTCACCATAAAAAAATAGGGAAGATTGTGTCCTGCTAACACAGCAGCAGGTATTAGACGATATGGAGGTGTTTCGATACTTGGGAACATGCACTGACATCATCTCGCAAACTAGTATAAGTTATTGGACAAATATGTAAACTATTCACAGTGAACATTTAATCTGTAAGTTCTTTATTTTACAGAGTTAAAGTAATTCTCGAAGGGAATGACCAAGTTTGATATAGACCTCAAAGAGAACAATGTTAACCCATCGAGCACGTCAAACGAGACTGTCACTCGTCTTTATTTTGCAGCCTCTCACTCCCTCCCTATGGGTTCTGCACTCCCTTCACATCATCCCCACTTCTCCCTAAGCTGTGAACATCTTTTCCGTGTCAGCCGTCTCTAAACCCTTGTTGCCTAATTCTGTTCATTGTAATTTTTTAAACACAGAGAAACGATGATAGAAGTTAAAACCAGGAACAAAACCATGAATAAACTTTTTTTAAATAAATTTTGGTATTTTTTACTTTTATCTAGTAGGTATCCTTCCAATGCTCTACATTTTATTGTAAATTCTGTAGTGGAAGAAGAACGAAATGAGAGATTGGGAAGGGGGGGGGGTCAATGACAGATGTTCCTGGCTAAAAAAATGGTTGACAATTTTGAAAATAAATAAATTCTGATAAAACATATAACATATACCTTTCTGGTAGCACATGATAAGCTAATGAAGATTATAATATATCTATATCCTTAAGTATGAATAAAAACTTAGTGAATGGGGTAGGATGCACGTTATGACGGTTTGCCTACACAATTTCCTCATCTTAGAAGTGATGTACGTCAAGCGATACATACTCACTCAAGATTTTCCGGTGAGAAAAATCACTTGTATTTTCTAACATAGCCAACAATGTACACCAAGTAATTGGGTTTGGTTTTAAAGAGTTTTATTTTTTGATGTACTGGGAGAACTTGGGGAAAAAGGAAATGTATTCAACAGGTTAAGGGGTATATCCAAATTCAGTTTGTATACACAGTTCGGTTATTAAGTTTAAAGACTGGTTTTATTGTGGAGAAGTGCTTGTGTTGTCAACGGAACTACATACCTGGAAACCTTTCAGTATACATGTATCTACCATGAAGTTATAATGTTTTGCGGGAAGCGAGTTTTTGATAGTTGTCATGGAAATAAACATTGAACAGTAGTGATGTCAGATCCGATTACTTTTATATAATCACGATTACTAGGTATAGTTGTTACGATGTCAATTGGAATCTGTAAATCTTAAAGCCCAGGACCGTATGCACTTCTCCTGAAATTTCTTTTTAACCATGGAGTGTCTCGTAATTTATACTCGAATAGCAATCCGAGTCCGCCTGATGTAGAATTGACGGCGGCGCGCTGGTCATCAAAGCAAACCTGTATTGGTCCACTAGGTCGTAAATAATTTTTTTGTATGAAACACAGGTTCACTTAGCTTTGCCGCTTTGCCAGTGCCATGCAGAGCTTTGTTTTTCGGGGTATTTTGTTGGTATAGTACATATTATTTATTAGTTGATATTATTATTTGTTCATATCAAGTAAAGGGTAAGTTATTAAAATAAATGTTATATGTAATTATCTAGTAATTTAGCGTGGCTCTCTGGTGACTCTTTGAAGCAGAGGATAACGAAATAACTCAGGGAAATCCCCAAATAGTGGAACCGGTTTTAGTCGAAACAAACTCGGAGTTTGAAAACAAAGATTTACACGTAAAAAATCAACGTATTATATTAAATATATATGAATCTTTGAAAATTGAAAATAGTGAACAATGTGATAAAAAAGTTAGGAAACGGATTAACGAATTTACTAAGATATCCAAAAAAGGTCAATTTATCGCGTAATTAAAGGAGGATTGATAACGGTACAATGAGGATACGGAAAAATACAAAATTTAAGAAAATTGACTATTTTACCAGATGTAATGCAGCACACAATTTATAATATGTATAAAGAAAATAAAGTTCCTACTTTAAACATGATTCAAGATAAATCAAGTGATTATCCTAATTATAATTATAAATCTTTAGATATTTTACGACATGCTTTATTACAATGCGATTTTAAACATAAAAAACTTGACAATCGTATGGTTATTATATGATAATATAGCTCGGAATATAGTATATCTAGACGAGACAGCTACATTTTTCTGGACGTCCATGGATTCCGTAAACTTTAGGAGTTAAATGTTTTTATGCGGTTCCAATTGAGATCGTAACAACTATACTTTCTCAATAAGTAGTCGTTACTTTGTACTCGTTACTTATTACGATTACTGACCATGATTTCGGGAGAGTATTTCCAACGAATAGATATATTGTATTGTAATTGTATGTAAGCTGTGCCCATACCCATGGCCATAGCCACTATAACATACATGAATGTATCAACACAATAAGAACAAATATGAATTATCTACCTAAATGTATACCTAAATGCAATGGCAATTTAAAAATATTTAATAATTATATTTATCCCAAATCTTGCGTGAATGCGTGAGAGTACCAACAACCGAGACTGAATCTATCTACGCATGGGAATCATACTAATCGTAGCCTCGTTGCTCGCTGGTCGTGTAACGATTACTGGACAGAACAGCTACTCAATTACTACGATTACTAGCAAGTAACAATTGTGTAGTAATGAATTATTACAATATTGACATCACTATTGAACAGTGTACAGCAATGAAGTTCTATTTTAGAAACAGTAAAACAGCCACGGAAATGTGTTATAAACAGCGTATGGTGAGGAGTCTTCCTGTGGTTGGGGAGGTATTGTGATGGTCGAGACAGTGTGCATGACGAGAAGACAGGGCGTCCCTGCAAAAGCAAAAGAACGAAAACATTGCAGTTGTGCGCTTTGTGCTGAAGTCTGATAGTCGATCAATCGTACACGGTCTGCTAACATTCTGATGGTTGATCAGATTTCAGCGCAGAGCGCACAGCTTCGATTTTTTTGTTCCTTAGGCTTGCGCCGTCTTCTCATCATCTTGCACCCTGTCTCGGCCATCACGATGCCTCCCGAACACAGAAACACAGTCAAATGTGATACATATTCCTCACTGTATGCCATTCGTAAAACATTTCTGTTTTAAAATAGAACTTGATTGCTATATGCTCAATATACGTTTCCATGATAATTATCAAAAACTTGCTTCACACAAAACGTTTAACTTCGCGGTAGATACAAGTAATCTGATGAAATTTTATTAAGTCGACCGAAATGTGTACAGTTGCAGTTAAAATTACTTTTCAAAAATCGAGTCTTAAATTTCACAAAATTTTGGGTTATTGCTGATTTATTTATTCATTACCATTTCTGATTACCGAAATATAAGCCACTAAAACGAGCACTAAAACTTATATTTTCATTACATCTCGGTATCTGGGACAACGAATGATTTTATAAACGTATCCACATTAAAATTCAATGAAATATTAAATTTATGAAAACATACATACCTTTTTATTTGTCTAAAGCAGCGTGTACAAATTAGTTTCAATTAATATCTAACTTTACGAAAAAATAAACTTCTATCATATACATTAAAAAAAAAATTAAAGCTCACCCTTCTTTCAGTGTTACTGGTGTATCATTTTCAATGGTTTGTGGACTAGAAGTGTTAGCGGATATAATTTCCAAGAACTGTCTCATTGCCGTCATGTGGCTTTCTGTGTAAAATGCTTTATACAAACATTCCATATACTCTTCCTTACATACTTGCTGGGTAGAGCGACAACTAACCAAGTTACCAAGCGATTGAATTGTTTTTGAAATTAGTGTTAGTGTTCTATTTGTCTGGCAGTCCTAAAACATGTAATTGTAAGTATGGCAAAATTTCCTGCAATCAAAGATTACTTACAATAGGCTGTGTCGTTAAATCGAATAACTTAGGACCTAAAATAGCGGGTGCAAAGAATCTCAGAAAAATAAATCCGGATATAACGGAATATCTTACACCCTTGTTCTCTGGAAAGTGTAATAACGCGCATTCCTTCAAATTGTGAAAAATCTGGCACATAAGGGTCGGACAATGAACTGCGCTTTGAGTAATGGCATCAAATATTTTTTGTATGTAGAATTTAAGGTTTGCCAAATTCGTGGCGATAGTATTTGCGTCTCGAACTCTAGTTGGGTCGATTTCGCAAGGTTTACGTTCATTACATATTAATTCTAAGGTTGGCCTCAAAGTTTTATGCAGGTATTGTAAGCCAATAAGCCTCATGGCTTCATCCATCATTTTTGAAACTAGAGTATTCCCTCTAAATATGGTCGTGGGATCTCTAAAATATAAAATACATATTTTTAAACGTCCTTTTTACCTCCATTAATATTAAGATTTATTTTAATACAGTAATATACACATTGTTGTGGCAAGTTTAAATGCTATTTTTAATGATTAAATTTAAAGGTTTATTTGAATTTGAATACTGAAGATTTATTTCTATTGTAGCGAAACCAGTAACTGTCTATTAAGTGGATAAATATAATAAATTATTAAGTATTTGCTTTGTATGCCAGTGTTTCATAAGTATCAACAATAAAAGATTTAAACAAAGGAATACTAAATGGTTGTCTTGATTCGATTTTATAATGCGGCCAACAGTTCGTGTGCAGAATAAATTATTAAATACACGATAACTTTACATAATGTTTCACAACGGCTGAAACAAGACTTGCCTTAATTTATTTATTTAATTAATTTTAGGCTAGCCCTCATTACAGTACAGATCACATCTAATATAAAGCCAATTATAAAATTAAAAAATTACAATACTACTAAACGACTAAATAAAAAATATTTTCAATACATTTTAAAACTCAAAAAAGTAAGTAAATATTTTCAATAAAATTTTTTCAAAATCTCAAAAATAACGTACAAGCTATTTGAAATAATTCGAACACATCCCTGTGAAAAATCTCACCAAATATTCAATTCTTATACTAATTGCTGAAAGTTCAACAACAAATTTAGGTATTATTTATGTTATCGTAGGTATAGTATCATAGGTTTTCTGTTGTCTTTTAGTGGTAACAGACGCATGATGTGCCGTCTAATAAAAGTAGTGGTGATTTGGGTTTTAATACAATATACAATTTTGGTGTTTAAAGTGGCCCATCTTTACAGTAGTGATGATTTAATTGACATATATTAGTATATGGGATTCTATGCCTAGCACTTTTGTATGTGATTTCATTCTAGGGTAATAGCTTTGTTTACGTTTGTCGAAGGGTTAGAGAAACAGGACACCTGCAGGAAAATCATGGTGAATATGTTGAAAGACCTAGGCTGCATGTTGAAGATATTTCAGATACTGTTAAAGAACATCCTACAGCTACTATTGAAAAGCAAATCGAGATGTTTCATACTAAAGTATAGACTATTTTACATGAAAATTAAATTTATTCATATTACATGTAGCAAATTCAGGCTTCAATGCCTTGAGATATAGACAACGGATGAAAATACATTTATTCATAATGGAATAAATAATTTCCAAAACAGGCATGTCTGGACTATGGAGAATCCCCACAATACCAAACAAATTTCCAACAGAAATTTTCTTTAAATATTTGAGCTGATATTGTTCAGTATGCCTATTGGCAATTTTATATGATCTAAATAAGTAGCTAGACTAACATTTTTTTGTAAAATAACTTTCCTGCACTACTTGAAGATATGCCCTTATTTCAAGTAATTGGAACACGATGGTGATGTGAAGTGAGAGATTGAATCACCAGATTGTAATGCATGTGGTTTATAGCAGCTCTGGAGATACATGAAGAGTTTGGTACATAAAACTGAAATGATCAGTGGAAGTATTACACGAATGCATGAAAAATGCCTTAGAAATAATTCACGAAACTGCTCACTTCTAACAAGTACTGAGTTGTGAATATGTTGAACAATAACTTATGCGAATTAAATCAAGATGATAACTTCAAACATCCTTATGCATGCCCAGGCTTATCTGAATTAAAAAGTTATTTTAATTTTTGAAAAAATGTTATAAAAATATTTTTACTTTTTTGAGCTCTTTGTGGTGTTAAAACAAAAACTAAAACTTTTGAATTACTTTAAATAAGTAAATAATTTTCATTGATGATTTTTAATATCTTGTTTATTGAAGAATAACTGCCATAATTATTATTGTAGTGAAAGTTTGTAGATAAAAAGCAGTTTGATTCCCTTAGAGATTTACTTAGCATATTCAATTAATTTAATTTATTGAAATCAACACCGATAGTCTAATTTAATAGCAGTTTTATTTTAAACTTTATAATAATAACGTTATTTCACTCACGATACAATTACTAGAGATGGTGGCTCGATTTTTAGAATTGCATTATGCAATTTCAATACCCCAAATTTTATCAGATTTACACATATTTACATCAATTTGCACAAAAATTTGTTTATCAAAAACAATTTGAAATTTTGAGTTTTGAGATAAAATTTTATTAATAGAATAAAGAATACTTACGTGACATTTGAAATTTCTACATTTGCCAACGCTCTAATAATTGGGACAATTTTATCATAGTGCATAAATATTCTAACCAGAGGCTGTGCTATATCCATTTTGTTTATAATTTCACCTAGTATGTACACCGAAGTAGCTGTTATGGGCTAAAATAAATGATATAATTGAAAATAAAGGAGGCCTACTTTGAAAAGCAAATAAATCTCAAAGAAAAACATATAAATGAAGTTATTATAAACAAATCCTAACACATCTTTGTAAAAGTAATTAGTCTCATTCAATGTCCGTCATAACGCCTATATTATATCTATTTCCTTATACAAAATATATACATTTTTAGAAAAAGATTATTTGCAATGTAAATTATATTATAGATAAACTGGAACTAATTATGCTAGAATGTGTGCCCAAAATAATTTATTTTCGATTACCTCTTTTGCTAAAGAATATTGCAAATAAATTTAAACAGAGTTTCCATTTATTCTTAAATTTAAAATGTACTGTAAATACTTATAAAGTAGATAAAATATTATAAGATTCAATAATAATAACAGTCAAATAATTAAAGAAAAATATAAACCTAAAACGATACAATTATTAAATTATTAGAATTTGAAATTTTTCTGTTATCGTCTAAAAACCTCAATGCAGCTATAGTAAAACATATCAATTATTATACAATCTTTAGTGGATACAGACTGTAGAATCTTTGTTTTTGAAATATTTAATGAATTAATTCAAAAATATAAGTAGTGCTACTTTAAATGCTTGAATATTATTCAGATATGTGATTCTATAACAACACTAAGATTTTCGGAGCAGAGTGAAAGAAAAAAATAATAATAATAATAATAAGTCAAATAATTAAGGAAAAATATAAACCGAGAAAGATGCAGTTATTAAATTTTTAAAATTCGAAATTTTTCTGAGTGTCAAAACACTCAACACAGCCGTAGTATAAATTATAGGTTATTATAAGATTATTAGTTAACTTTTCTTAGAAATATGTACGGAGCATGTCCCTGGAAAAGAACCTGTAGAATCTTTATTTTTGAGATATTTAAAGAATTAATTAAAAAATGTGAATAGTGCTATTTTAAATTCCTTAACGTTATTCCATATGTAAAGAAAGTTTAATGTATTTCTTTATACTTACAAAATTTAAAAAATCCTTTTCTGATTGATTAACACATATTACAATATTGTCCTTTCAAATAAGTAACCCTACAAAATGAATGCCGAAAGACGTCTACTTGTAAATATTCAAAAACATCAAAGACACCGCACAGTCTTTATGAAAATGTGGACTTGGTCAAATAGGCTGAAATTATGGTAAGTTGTTGATTTTGTGTTACTGACCAAAAGTACTTGGGTCCGAAAATCAATTCTTTTTCTGAGATAGTTCTGCTGAACTCAGACCGCTATAAGTAGGAAAGAATTGATTTTCCGACCCAAGTATTGTGGACACTTTTGGTCGTTAATACCAAAATTTCAGCCAATTTGACCGAGCCCACATTTACATCGAAATTACCTATTAAAAATAAACCCCCATTCCAAAGTTGATTTCCTCACAAATGGCTGCTCTGGTCTGTGCATAATAGGCAATTTATTTTCAATTATAATAATAATAACACTAAGAATTTTTTACTGAAATTTTAGATTTCAGAATATTCATAGAAAGAAAAAACAGGTTTTTTTCAGAAAATTTGAAACACTAGAAGAATTTAGCATCGTAATTACAGAATATACCTATAATTAAAAAAAAAGACTGCCAAAACCAAACTAACCATTTGAGAGAAAACCTACTTTGAAATTGAGGCCAATTTTTAGTGGTGCGTTCATTTTTATGCAAAATTTATCCCAAAAGTAAATTTATATGCGTTTGAGTCCCGATTAAAGTCGACACACTGCTCAAAGTACTGCGCTGTACTTTGTGCAATTTATAAAATTTAAATGAAAACAGTTTCATGTAATTCATCTAGAAGTTGATACGAATAGAATAGAAAAAGCAGTAAAATTAAGTAAGTACATAACTTATTATAAATTTGTAGAATTCACAAGTTTTGACATATATTACTATACATTTTATTGGTACCAACAATGGAAAATTAATGACTTACTTGTATATGTATGCTTTGAAGTAATAAATTTTTGAGATTATCATAAACATTTGCAGGGAAAACTCGATCTTCTGTGTATTGAACCTGAAGACGTAGAGAGCCGAGAGAATTATCGCTAGAAAGTCTTGTACCTGGAGGTGTAGAGTGTGTAAGAAAAGGACGGTTTTTTCCGGACCTTGGCTGCAAAAAGTACCTATAAAAAATAAATAATTACTCGAAATCACTTATTATTTATTAAAAAATGAATAACTCTCAACAAAATCATATTTAGAGGATAGTATTTTGTAAGTATTTTTATATATTTGGATAGAACGCTTATTTAAACCAAGTACACATATATCGAGTGTCTGGTAATTAATGGATAACCTTTTAACCGTAGATGGGGGACCCAAATGTCGTTCAGAAAATCGACTTTTATCTTAATATAAAGTCCCTTTGTTATTTCATTTTTTTTTTTCGCCATAGGTTACTTTATTGGTCACTATGTCCACAAGAGAACATTATTATCTTTCAGTTATTATTTAATTTTATTTAAAAATTACAGTAAACGTTCAAATTGTCTGCCGGCTTCCCTGATGCAGGCTCTGCACCTTCTTATGAACGCCCTTCGGAGCTTTCGTTTATATCTTCGCTGACTAACATAAAATTTAAGTTTAAGATTTTTTTAAACAAGAATTACTATTGCTAGTTAAAAATTCTGATAAGCATCTGATAATAACATAATTCAAGAATATTACGCAAAATAACTGAAAGATAATACGTTCTCTTGTGACCAATGAAGTAACCTATGGCGGAAATTTCGAAAAAAAACGAAATAACTGAAAAACGAAGGGACTTTGTACTAAGACAAAAGTCGATTTTCTGAACGACCTTAGGGTCCCCCATCCACGGTTAAAAGGTTATCCATTATTTACCGGACACCCTGTACACAGAGGCAAAAAGATTCATGGTGCATGCTTGGTTTGTAGAGTTTTCAGGTAAGCCTAAAATTTGAGCATAAATGAGAACGAAGAAAAGCTCAACCGTAACAAAGTACAAATGTAGATGCTACTCAAGGAGGTAGAGATTTGGAGGGGTAGAACAGATGCCTAGTTTGCTGATTTTCTTGTTGGAAATGGATATGCATGAGACAAGAAATGAGATGGTAATTCAGTTCATAACATTGTATTTATAACGGAAAAATTGTACCTTACAAGAATATCTTCTAGCGACTTTATTTTTTTGCCATAATTAGTTCCAGCTTTCAGTTTGACACTTTAAAGTAAGAAGCATATACAGGGTGTTTCAGTTCGAGTGAATCAAATTTTAACCACAGATAGAACTCGATAAGTAATTAAGAATTGTCTTATAAACCAAGGTTCTATGTCTCACCGTTTTCGCTCTACAGGGCCGTATTGGTCGGTTTTTTACATCATATTATTTATGATATCTCTGGTATGGTTGTAACAATTTGATTCAAATCTGGTATGATGTTAATACTTACGAATGTCTATAATTTACTGCAAAATTTACAAATTTTTTGTAGGTCAGTGGCGTAGAAACGGGTAGGGTAGCGGGATTTTTTTGCCCCAACTTCTACGCCAATGACCTAATACTTATTTGGGGTAAATTTTTAGATTCCTTGGACAATTTGGCATAATACTTGTTTGAAATCGGTAAAGTGTCTCGTTCTGCCGAAAATCTCAATAATGTGGGAGGCCGTTCTTCTGATAAAGCATTTAGTTTCGTAATGATAGCAAATACATTTCAAAGTAATATTACTTTAATATTATGTATTAAATTAAAATGGAACGTTTCATGTAAAAATGTTAACAGCAAACAATGAAATATTCTTTTTCTTATTGCTGTATCTTAGATGCTAATAATAGGTAATAGTTTGTAGGTACGGTTTTTACAATTTTAAGTAATAATACAAAACGGTAAATAACAACATAACAAATAACACTAACATAAAACAATATTAAATAACATGTTCAAAATGACCCCCATTGGCTCTTATACATGCTCTGCATCGCCGAACCAACGACTGATAGACATCAAACATAATCCCTTCTGTATTATTTATTGCATCTGCAGCATCGTGGATTCTTTCTCTGAGATCATTTTCATCTTGCGCGACAGTGCGGTAAACAAGCTGTTTTATATGACCCCATACAAAAAAATCAATTGGATTAAGGTCTGGGGATCGCGGTGGCCAATGTATTGGTCCTCTATTTCCTATCCACCTATGTCCATAGTTTTCCGTTAACCATGCACTAACATCTCTTGCATTGTGCGGAGGTGCACCATCCTGTTGGAAATAAACGTATTGTCTTTCATTTAATGGCACCTCGTCTAGAATTTCATGTGTGGAATTCTGTAGCAATTCTAAATATCTTTGCCCATTCAGTATACCATTTATTTCAAAAAGAAATAATTTGTTTCGAAAAATTACTCCCCACATATTAATCTTAAATCTGCGCTGAAAGGCCCTTCTTCTTGTTAAATGGGGATTTTGTAATGACCATTGATGTAAGTTTCTAAAATTATTCAGTCCATTTTTAGGAAAAAGGCTTTCATCGCTCCAAATAATATTTTGTAAAAAGAGTGGATCTTCCGTCAAATTTTGGAGGATCCAGTTGCAAAATTGTAATCGTTGAAGGTTGTCACCTTCTTGTAAATGTTGCACTTGCTGGTAATGATATGGATGTAGCAGCTCTTGATGAAGGACCCTCCATACAGATACGTGGGGTATCTGTAATTCGCGTCCGATTTGTCTCACACTCAATTCAGGAGTATCAACTACCCGTTCGATAATATTTTCCTCGTACTGTTGAATATTACGATATCCTCTACCTTCTTGATTTTTTCTTACTTGCACAGAACCTGTTTGTCGCAGTCTTCTAAAGGTTCTTATAAATACGCCAAAAGAGGGATGACGCCGACGATTTGGAAACATTCTCCGATATTCTCTTTCTGCTTCTCGAGCACGACCATGACAATATCCGTACACAAAAATCATATCAGCGTATTCTTCACTTGAATATTCATCCATATTTTGACAAATGGTAAGTACTGTTGCAAATCTTTATAATTAAATAACAATTCCTGATGACAGATAATGTCATTATTGTTATGTTTTGCATAGCAATCTTTGTGAATACATACTCCCAAAGCGCAGACTTACAATATGAGCCTCACATCAATTGTCAATGAGGGGTGTAATTTTTTTAAACAAATTATATCTAATTTGACATAAATGAAACGTTAAATTAGCAAAAATACTTATAATAGTTTCAGAATAGCATAAATGAAATGTAAAGGAGGTATCATTGAATGTGTACCGCACTGTAGTGCAACATAAAACAGAGCTCAGAAAGGAAACTCACCACACTATAAATGCTATAAAAATAATACACGAAGTGTAGAGACGTATTGTTTAATATTGTTTTCAACCGTAATTTAATAACTGCTAAACTGAACTAAACTTGATTCCTTATCAGAAGAACGGCCTCCCACATTATTGAGATTTTCGGCAGAACGAGACACTTTACCGATTTCAAACAAGTATTATGCCAAATTGTCCAAGGAATCTAAAAATTTACCCCAAATAAGTATTAGGTCATTGGCGTAGAAGTTGGGGCAAAAAAATCCCGCTACCCTACCCGTTTCTACGCCACTGACCTACAAAAAATTTGTAAATTTTGCAGTAAATTATAGACATTCGTAAGTATTAACATCATACCAGATTTGAATCAAATTGTTACAACCATACCAGAGATATAAATAATATGATTAAAAAACCGACCAATACGGACCTGTAGAGCGAAAACGGTGAGACATAGAACCTTGGTTTATAAGGCAATTCTTAATTACTTATCGAGTTCTATCTGTGGTTAAAATTTGATTCACTCGAACTGAAACACCCTGTATTCCAACGGCCATGGCCTCAGACCAAGGCAACTAATTTACCATGCCCAATACATATATATTTATACATTGACATGGTTTTTACCTTGCCTCGTATCCATTCATGTTCAGATGTGCACCTGGCTTTAAGATTTCAATGATTTCAAGACAAACTTAAAAAACTGCCATAAACTTAATGTATTAAAATGAAATAATTATTATGCAACCATATCTCTGTGAAGCATAATATATATTTATTTCGCAGTTTTACTGTGTCCTTATTATAAGTTGACAAATTCTTTAGTATTAGGACGAATAAAAATCCTGCATTGTGTCGACATACCTACATATAGAGTTACCTACTCATTTAAGGATGGTCACATGGAAATTTTGCAAATGGTAAGAGGTACAAGTTCGTTTTCTTGTGAATTTCATAGGTCACAACAAAAATGGAATTTTCAAAAAAAATTTTCAAATACCTTTGAATAAAACCATAAATTTTGCACATTTGGCCTAGATCAATGTTATAACAATAAAAATTCTTGATGCAGGATGTCAATTTATATAGTACATACATGAAAATTTCTAATATTTATAGTTACAAAGTTATGAAAGAAAAAACAGAACTGGAGTTTAATGATCTATAAAAGTTATAAGAAAACTAAAGGCATCATTCAAGAGCGCTACAATTACACAATTTTTTTGTAATTTAACCAACTTTGTATCTCTTACCGTTTTCCAGATAATGTGGAATTAAGTGAATTACCCACGACATTAATTGCTAAGAAAATTATCATTGCTGCAATTTATATCATCAGACAGATAAAGTTCAGGTGAGCATTATAAATAAAATTATTATAATCAATACAAGTCAATACTTTTGGGGTACCTACATTATTTTACTCACACATTCTTTACTTGTATTATTAGAGATATACCTTTCATACTTATATCATTGTAATTTTGAGAAATATTCTAATAAAAAAAAAACAAAAATTTGGTAGATACCTCTGAAATGTAATATTTAAATATTTTTCCAAGTACACATATCTTTTAAGAAAAGTGTTTTTGTTGTAAACTACTGAGGATAATTTAATTCTGCAAACCATTCTCAGTGACTGACACTCAAATGTAGGACAAAAAGACCATTTTCTACTTAGTGTTTTTATACTTTGAACTGTTTCAATATTAATATATGAACAACGGATGGAATTAGAAAAAATTTATTCGAACATTTTTAATGACTAAAATTTACATATCAATTTAAGCTAACAACGTACATTTTAAAGAAAAAACTTGAAATAT